TGATGGAAGGACTGTGAGTAAGTGAGCATGTTGATCAGATCAAAATCTCGAGGTTCGTTTGGATTTTTTAAAAATTGTTTGTTCAAAAACACTTCTGCGCAAAACGATGCTAGACGCGGTCAAATCACGGTCACGTTCCTGACCAATGAAAGAGTGTTCCTCAACAATGTGGGCTGATAGGTTCGCTGTCTGGATAACTGGGCGAGAGCCACAGGGAGAATTGCAAATCCTAAATGACAAAGTGGCAGTGAAGTAAACAAAATGAACAAATACATTATTTTTAAATGTTTTTTTTTTATTTCACACAACCTAACGTTATCTTGATAATCGAAACCACCGGACACATATCGCTAGCAGGTTGCTCCTGTGCATATGTATATGTTTCGCAGTTTAAGCATTTTAAGAGTTAGGAAACGTTTAGCAAAACAAAGCAAATGGCCGTTGCCACCGGCTCACATCGCAGGAAAACCTTTGGCATCTCTGCTCAAACGCCTCCTGACAGACAAAAATGTAGCGAGCTCTGCGTGCTCATAAAACAAATCACAGGGGCACAAAAACGTGTTCATCGGTGGCCAGGAGGGTCAAATCCTTTCACACAACTCGAGCCGGTGAAGTGCCGCGACTATTGAATTGGTGCGACCCCTTTTTTTCGCGTGACCGAGACAGCCGGGGGACACCCGAGGGCCTTTTCCGCCGCGCGCTGTTTGTTGCGGCACGCGCGCACGTGCACAGCCCCCCTTGTCACTCCACTGCTGGATGAGGGCCTCCCCACAATGCACGGGCCGTGAGGGGCATTTTGCTATACATCACTTGGGAGCATAGAGGTTCCACGCAGCACTGGATTTTGCGGTGCTGCCCTCTGCTGCATACATCGTCGCCCCGTAGCCTAGAACACCTGCCTTATTATGCACGTTTGGTCGCCCTTCCAAGCACTATCCAGGATTAACCGTGCTTAGCTTCCATTATCTAATTTGATTTGGTCATAGGTTGACATAGAGAGAAATAAAACGAGTTTATTTCTTATTACATATGACCGTAATTGTTATTGTGCAGGAGTTGTATGAAATTATTGTAAAAAAAAAAACCCTTCTCTTTGCCGATAAATGCCTCAATGAGTCTCAAGACTCCTTGTCAGAAGGGTCCTGCATTCCGGTGTTTTGCCAATTCCATTGATTGGCGCTTGACATGTGGGAGAATACTGTAATGCCTGGCGACATCCCATGCATACGACAAGATAGCCCTCGAATCTCCAACAAAGATAGATTCAGGAATGTACTTCTCTCTCCTGGCCCTCTCCTGGCCACCTCACGAACCTGTAATTCCCAAGGGTATACTCCCAATTACTAACCAGGCTCGATCCTGCTTAGCTACTGAGACAGGTAATAATTTAAAGAATCATCGCTGATTTCAATGCTTGTAAATGACTGACGAGAGTGCTGAGATGGATGTTGGAAACATCTCTGAAGGGAAAGGAGGTGGCATGAAGATCTTAGAGCCTTGGCTGGGGTTGCTGATATTCTCTGGACTAATGCGGGTAGAGATGACTTATTTGATTCGGGCAGCCGTTGAGAAAGCGACAAAGACAATGCAATTACAAGGACCACGGAACACACCACTGGTGCACGGCTTCAATGAGTTGAGGGAGAGTCCGGGGTGAGATGTGAGGATGCGGGGGAGAATGGATGTGACGAGAGAAGAGACAGAGTATGGGCTCATGGTGAAAGAAAATCCAGACACTCAACCCCCTTCTCTCCGTACACTAAGAGGGCTTCTGGCTAACAAGAGCAGGAGTGTCGTGCTAGTGTTCTGGCTTCTATATGGAGCAGGCTAGCTGGGTTTGCGTTATGATGCTGACACTGACGCATAGCTAGAAACAAATACCACCACTGCTGTCGCATGAGGTGCAAACCTTCAGTTCCATCATGGTAAATGTTTGCACAGAGAGACACACAGCCACGTGTTGTGTTATTTTTCCTCTCGGTTGCATAGCAATCTGTGTAAGTGTTAAAATAACAATCCCATTGTAAATGCTCATTTGCATATTCAATGCAGGAGTAATTAAAATGTAATTATATGGTGCCTAAATCTACGTTTCAATGTGCACATATACATAAGTGCGTTTTTTGTTTGATATACAAAACACACACAAATGGTCTGTGCATAAACTAATAACAATACACATAAATATTTTGGCCATTTTTAAATATCATTGGCTGTCAGAATACAATTAGTAGAAATGATAATGACACGTGAATAGAAAATGTGGTCGGTACAAACATGTTTCCGACGTCATTTGTCCAATTTTAAAAAGCAATAACTTTAAAAAAACAGACCACATTGTGAAATTATGATGATGACGATGATGGATCACAATGAGACAATTTGAAGAAGAAAAAAAATCATCCAAACATAATTTGAAAATATTTCAATATCAATATTTGTATTAAAAAAAACAACCCCTACACAGTGTGAAATAAATATGGCACTGTCTAACACTTTAGAATTAATGCGGTGTCTGTATTCATGGGCTGTCATACCCTGCTCGAAGAAAGCAGCACAACAGGTTGCATCGTGTATGACGGATTGAAATCTGCGTTTGTGTTATTGACTTGGAAATCTGCACCGGTTCAAATCAACAATAGCCGTGTTATTCATGTTGTGTTGCCGTTAAACAGATTAATGTTCAGTGCAAACTACATTAATGCAGTTATGCATGTAACACGATTGCAAATGCACTGCCCTATAACCTTACCATAAACGCGTCTTAATTGCACTGTCAAAGTTTTATGTTGAGATTTTTTTTTTATTTTACTTGAGAATTACATAACGGGGACGTTGAGCGGTGGTGCAGCGGTTGGCGCACTGCGCTATGATACCCGGTGACCCCGAGTACGATTCCTGGCCACACCAACATCCGTATCTCGAGCGAAATCTCAACGTCTTTCACCAAACCCGTGCCGACCAGCTCGGTGAAGTATGGTACAAAAAAAACCCGATGACCTTTATCTAGCAGTGGATTGACAAAGGCGTTGAAAAATATCATTATTACTGCTGCATAATCCATATGGAAAATCTGAAAATAATTGGGTATCAAGCACATTGCTAGCATCCATATCACGTGTGTGCGTGCACGTGTTGATATACTGTAAGGATCTACTTCCCAATACACGGGTCGTATGTGAAATATTCCACAGTGTATCTGCGACTCTGTGGACCTGACCGAGGGTTTAATCGGCGATCCTCTGCGCAATGTTGTTATGAGAGCTTGGAGTGGAGAAGGGGTAGGGTCTGCTAAAGTCCACGTTTCTTGATGCAGGCAAGGAAGCTATCCTTCATTGACATCCATTATTACTTAACCGGCAGGTGAAAATACAGGCCCATCGCCTCTTTTTTATGTTTTGCAAGGGCGATCTGGGTTACACTAAAGTAATTTATAATACAACAACAATTTAATTGTTCCAATTCAATGGAATCCAAGTGCAAATGAAGACGGACTTGACGCGTCTCCTTTCGCCACGCGTCTCTTCCCGATAGGGACCTCGTCCCCCCCCCCCCCCTCCCAACGCGTGTTTGTCCGTGTGTCTGTACCGAGACGTTTTATTCCCGCTTTCACCCATTACCTATTAATTTGCCGACGAGCAAATCTCGTCAACTCCTCCGGAAAGCTAAGCAGGCGTTGTTGAGCCTGGATAGGCGAAACCAACGCGCGCGCAAACGTTGTTGGTTGCTTCAGCATTGACGGGGCAGTGGGGACAGGTTCATTGGTGCCGCTGTACGTATTCACGTGCTTGCAGGTCTGTGCTCGCCGCGATCAGCAACGCACGTGGTGAAGTCTGGTCGAATAACCCCTACGAGCTCGCGGCTCGCGAGGAAGGCCATCGTCTAGCACTGGGTCGACATCAAACGCGGGGTTTTCTCACGCCGTGTGCGTGCGGTTGAAGCCTCTTCGTAGCAAATGAAAGGCGCTGTAAATCGCACGATCGTGTCTCGTGTTGATCAAGGCGACATTACATTTGGCACGCGCAGAGCAAGCGTAAAGACAACGCACAGCCTTGGCACACTGTTAGGGCAAGTGCTGTTAGCGAGCACCTGTGAAGACCGAAACGGTACACGAGGGGGTGGGTGGCCAGCAACCACATCCCCGGTGTCACGCCACGCTAGGTACTAATTTAAGGCTGAGTTGACCTAGGAGATTCCGACCGGTTTAAATATTCTTGACTGGTGTGAGCTGTGAATGGGAATCGCGGGATCGCCGGGTTCGTAGCGCACTGCGCTCACCACTACCCCACCGCTCCCCGCACCATGCACACGGCATGTATTGATGAAGCACACGGACTCACCAAGATCAACATGGGTACGCGCGAACGGCAACGTTGGCTCGCGCAAAACAGAACAAAGATCCCCCGTATAGCCTTCACAGACTGTTGGGGCAAGTGCTGTTAGCGAGCACCTATGAAGTCCGACACGGCACACGAGACGGTGGGTGGGAAACACCACGCCCAGCCGCCTTTGTCTCCCCAAATTACGATGTTTACACACCATACCAAATACTAATTTGAAACTGAGTCGACCTACGCTTACACGCACACACACGTTGTACCCGCACACGCATTTACTGGTGTGCGCACGTGCACATGGACAAGCACGTGTGCGCACACACACGTATACGCGCACACGTGCGCGCATAGATTCACGCACGCTCACGTACCAAGACCACGTGTGCTCGGGTATACGCGTAAGTGATGACGCACACACACGCGTGTGGATGCACACACACGCTCGTGTGGACACAGTCACGTGAACACACATGTACACATATCCACACGCGTGTACACACGCTTGAAAACACATGCACACGCGTGTACACACATGTGAGTACATGCATACATACGTTCGCGCATACGCACAAACGCGCGCGTACACACGCGCGCGCTTGCACACACGCGCGCTTGCACAAGGGCAGCCGATATTGGCAAGCGCAGCCTGATCCGTGCGCTGACCTTTAGGGACTGGAGAGCCGGGGCTGGATCTCTCGGGGGACACCCTCTGCTGCTGATGATGATGATTATGCTGCTGCTGCTGCTGATGTGGTTGATGGTCAGCAGACGGCACCGCCAGCCTGACGCTGCTGCTGCTGCTGCGCTCGTCTAAGCCCACGGCGCTGAACGGAGACAATTCGGACGCGCGGCCGTCGCTGCCACCGCAGGTGCTGCTCGTGGCGCTGCCGGTGCTCGTGCTCGTCGAGGTGGTGACGACGGCCGCGGCCGCCGATCTCTTCCCGTAATTCTGCGCGGCCGGAGCGCACGGCAGCGAAGTGCACGGGGCCACGGGCTGGGCGCACGGACTCGGTACCGGGGTCGCGGCGGCGGCGGCGGCGGCTGCGACGCCGGGTGATGATGATGGTGCAGTAGCGGTGGCGTTGGCGGTGGTCGTGGTGGCCGCTTTCCCGACGGCAGGGAGCCCCTGTCCGGACGGGCTAGCTAAGCCGGCTCGCAACTGGTAGGGCACGGTCGCTCGCAGAGGCTGGGTTCGCGTCGGAGTCGGGGAGACCGCGGAGCGCCGCACTCGCTGCGAGACGTGCGACGATGCCATTGCGAGTCCCGTGCTGCGCTCGCTCGCTCACTCACTCCGCTCCTCCTCCTCGACTCGCGTGCAGTAATACAGCATACGTGCGTACGTGCATGTATGTGACCTACGCATGTATAATACATGCACGCGTATGATGTATGTATGATGCGATGTCAGGAGGCGTGGATGCACATGTTGGCTATTGTGTGAGCTCGCTTGGTGGTGGGTTGATATATCGGTGACGATGATGAGGATGGTGGTGATACTGATGATGATGATGGTTATCCGGGAGTCAACAAAGACGCGCACGCGATGCTGCCGTGCGCGCTACATGCTCGCTCCACCACAATGCAGGGGGAGGAGAGAGGGAGGGGAGGGGATAGAGAAGGAGGGGAGGGATGGAGGCGGGCGGCTCTCTACGAAAGGAACTCCTCGCTCGCTCTCTCTCTCTCTCGTTCCCACTGCCCCCCCCACCGACGCGGCACGCTTCACTTGCTCTGTAAGGGATGGCATGCGGAGCGCGGGGGAGTGTACGAGTGGGTTATGTGCGCGGTCGAGTGCGGGGCGGAGTTGGTTGGTGTGGGGGTAGAGGGTGCGCCTTGTGCGATGGTGAGTGTTTGTCTTGCGTGGTGAGTGCCCGGTACGATGTGCAAACATCACCACGGGGGAGACAAAGGCGGTCGCGGGGAGCGGTGGTGTAGCGGTTAGCGCGCTGCGCTACGAAGCCGGTGAGCCGGGTTCAAGATTACCGCTCACGGCCAACACCGGTGACGATTTATATGAACCGGTTCTGGGTCTCACCTAGATCGACTCAGCCTCAAATGAGTCCCTGGTGCGGTGTGTAAACATCGCCACGAGGAAGACAAAGGCGGCCGGGCGTGGTAATAGCCACCCATCATCCCTTCGTGTGCCCTCCCGGCCTGCATAGGTGCTCGCTAACAGCACTTGCCCCTAGAGTCTGGTCCGGCTACACGGGGGATCTTTGTCTTTTATTTTGGTGGGGATATCTGCGGTTGCGTACTTGTGGGGCGAGGGGGTGTGTGGTGCTGTTTACGATAGTCGGTCGGTACGTTGATTGTGAACGTGCGACGCTGAGTGTGTGTTGGTCACGTCACGCGGCCTCAATGTGCACCTAGTCTGGCACAAGCGCCGTGGTGACGTCGCAGTCTCTTCGTGACAATGTTGCTTGTTGTTGATGGTGGGAGGCTGTGGAAGAAGTGGCGGTGGCGCGTGATGTGCGTGTTTGATGGCGAGCGCTGTACGCGTGGAGAGAACTTCTTTCGCACCCAACGTGGCCAACCTCTGTGGGTCACGGCGCTGCACGACACCGAAATCGCATCTCGAACTCAGCCTCGAGCGCCGAACATCCCAGCCAGTTCGGTATTTTAAAACATCGCCAAACCGGGGGAGACAAATGCGGCCGGGCGTGGGTTTCTCTCCACGCCGCCGTCGTGTGCCACACAGACGCTCGAGCTGAACGGCACTTGCCCCAACAGTCTGTTCAGGTTGTTACACTACTGTACAGAGAGGATCTTTGTCTGAAGAAGGGGTGGACGAAATATGCTACCCACATAGCTGGTGGGTGTCGCCTTTGTGCGAGTGTCTGCGCGTGTGAGTCTCTGTGCGTGTGTGAGTCTGTGCGTGTGTGAGTCTGTGCGTGTGTGTGTCTGTGCGTGTGTGAGTCTGTGCGTGTGTGTGTCTGTGCGTGTGTGAGTCTGTGCGTGTGTGTGTCTGTGCGTGTGTGAGTCTGTGCGTGTGTGAGTCTGTGCGTGTGTGTGTCTGTGCGTGTGTGAGTCTGTGCGTGTGTGTGTCTGTGCGTGTGTGAGTCTGTGCGTGTGAGTCTCTGTGTGTGAGTCTCTGTGTATGTGAGTCTGTGCGTGTGTGTGTCTGTGCGTGTGTGAGTCTGTGCGTGTGTGAGTCTGTGCGTGTGAGTCTGTGCGTGTGAGTCTCTGTGTGTGAGTCTCTGTGTGTGTGAGTGTGCGTGTGTGTGTCTGTGCGTGTGTGAGTCTGTGCGTGTGTCTGTGAGTGTGAGTCTCTGCGTGTGAGTCTCTGTGTGTGAGAGTCTGTGCGCGTGTGTGTCTGTGCGTGTGTGAGTCTGTGCGTGTGTGAGTCTGCGCGTGTGAGTCTCTGTGCGTGTGTGAGTCTGTGCGCGTGTGAGTCTGCGCGTGTGAGTCTGCGCGTGTGAGTCTCTGTGCGTGTGTGAGTCTGTGCGTGTGAGTTTCTGTGCGTGTGTGAGTCTGTGCGCGTGTGAGTCTGTGCGCGTGTGAGTCTGTGCGTCTGTGCGTGTGAGTCCGTGCGCGTGTGAGTCTCTGTGCGTGTGTGTCTGTGCGTGTGTGAGTCTGTGCGCGTGTGTGTCTGTGCGTGTGTGAGTCTGTGCGTGTGTGAGTCTCTGTGCGTGTGTGTCTGTGCGTGTGTGAGTCTGTGCGTGTGTGAGTCTGTGTCTCAGTGGGGAGCGGTAGTGTAGCGGTTAGCGCGCTGCGCTATGAACCTGGCTACCCGGGTTCGATTCCCGCTCACGGCCAACACCAGTGACGATTTTCTGAACCGGTCCCGGGCCTCCCCTAGGTCGACTCAGCCTCAAATGAGTACCTGGTGCGGTGTGTAGTAAACATTGCCACTGGGGAGACAAAGTCGGCCGTGCGTGGTGCTGGCCACCCACCCCCTCGTGTACCGTTCCGACCTTCATAGGTGCTCGCTAACAGCACTTGCCCCTACAGTCTGTTAAGGCTATACGGGGGATCTTTGTCTTTGCAGTAGGAGGGGACGCGGCGGGTCGCCTGCTGCTCTCAGAGCCTCGTGTGTCGCTCCATATGCGGCGCAGCAGCGCCCCGTCCGACGGCCCTGCCGTCATTATTGGTCGGCCTCGCATCGTAAACAGCCCTTCCCTATCCCCCCCACCACACAACCCACCACTGCCAACCAACCCAGAGCACACGCCACAACACACGGGCATTGGACGAGCTCGCACTCTGAACGTGCCACGTCCCATTCAACATTTCCCAGGCACGACTCGCCGCAACACCTCGGCTCGTATCAACACCCGGGGTCGTTTCTAGCCAGGTCCACCCAGGTCACCGTCTCGAATATTGAGACCATTGAGACCTCGCTGGGCTATCGATAGTACTCACCCCGTTGCAACAAACGTACACTTGACCGTGACCCACCTCCCCCCATCCCCTCCGCCTAATAGCCGCCAGCCATATAAAGGGGAGCTGTTTGGGGCTTCGCTCCGGATAACGTGACCATGCCCCCTTGCCGATGTGTGGGGGGGACAAGGCGGGTAAGCTGGCGGTGGTGCTGCAAGGCACGATGCAGGGGACGTCGCCTCATCCCTCGGCTCTTCTTCTCGTCATCCTCTCCTCCCGAATGCTTCTTTAATGCCACGTGTCGGGGAGCGGTGGTGTAGCGGTTAGCGCGCTGCGCAACGAACACGACGACCCCGAGGTCGACTCCCCCGCACACGGCCGACGCGATTTGTCTGGACCGGTCCTGCGTCTCCCCTAGGTCGACTCGGCCTCAAACGAGTAACCTGGCGCGGTGTAAAAACATCGCCACTTTGGACGCAAAGGCGGCCGGGCGTGGTGCTGGCCACCCACCCCCTCGTGTGCCGTTCCGGCCTTCCATAGGTGCTCGCTAACAGCACTTGCCCCTACAGTCTGTTGAGGCAACACGGGGGATCTTTGTCTTTGCACACCGCCGTCGCCGCCACCGCCACGACCATCATCATCATCACCACACGCACAGACGACGCACGCAAAACTCGCACCAGAATAGTCAACACTCAACCCATAGCCTGCTATATTGTAATATATTGTTACAATATAGCGGGATATATTGTAACATAATGTAACGCAGCACTGTATCACGAAAACACAAGAGGCACGCTCGTGGAATATGCGCGCTTGCCAGCATCCTGAATTTCTGCCGAAATGAGTTATTTTAGAGTGCTTAAAATATTCGAGTATTCACAATGTCAGCCATTGACGATGGGCTCGATTCGCGTGCACGTAGCGAGACCGAGACGGAGACAGCGAGGATTCATGAGAGGAGGGGGGGGGGGGGTGCGAGGTTGCGGATCATCATCCAACAGCCGGTACATCATAGCTGACTAAGATCACCACATGGCGACGGGATACAGAGAGCGTACGGACAGCCGAGCGCGGCGGCTGTGGGTTGTTATTGCGCATAACATTAACATCGGCGTCATTTCAACGAGTCAACATCCGCCAAACAGCTTGGTACCGTGGTACGAGGCAGCAGCAGCGAGTGTGTGTGTGTGCCTGTGCAGTCCCGAGGCATGCGATTCACACGCGCACGCCGTACGCACACGGGCGATTGAGCACCTTCTTCACCAACCCACGTGCTGACCTGCGCGGTGAAGTGTGGGTTGGAACAACCGCCAGCCACGATCAACACGGCCCGTGTAGAGGCTGTTTCATCCAGCAGTGGGTTAAAACAACTGTGCGTGAACTGTAGAGTGTAATTGTAAAGGCTATGTAAAATATATCACGCATAGCTGACCTATGCCTGCACAGGTAATTTATACTTTACTGGATAATGAGAAAGATTATTTTAAATAAATGAAAGCCGTCATATATATTTATTCGATCCAAAAATCAGTGCTTTAATTTGCCGTTTTTATTTAACTGTAATATATTACACTTGTTTACATAAGTCTCTCTTTAAAAAAAACCTCATCTGAAATGGGGATCTCCATCTGGTTATAAACAAAGGATACATTATTAAAACGTTCCGCGTGGCTGGCCTGCTTTAGCTGGATGGCGATCATAGTCAAGGTCATCTCGCCAAAACGTCAACCCTGTTCTTCCCTCTCGGATTTCAATGCGGTGCTGCAGATGCAGGAGGTGCGTCGTTATTCGCGTTTGCACACTTATACGTGTACAATAAGACACTCGCGTGCTTTCAAAACACGTTCCGCATGCGGCATTGCCCAGCTTTTCCGGGCACTTTCCGAAAGGGTTTTCAAGTAGGCCTACTCTGCGTAAGCGCTTTGAAGTGTTGCGTGACCTCCACATCTCGCTTGGTAATTGGCCGTGCGCTTTGAGAATACCTGGGGTTCAAAAAAAATGTTCACACATTTTTACGCAGATTGTGCTTTCGCGTCACGCCACGAGATGAGAGATCCATTCACATTTCTCGCAGAGCAGTGCAACCCGTTGTTTGAGAGTGGTCCTGTGGAAACGGATATCGCAGAACTACTTCTGAGATGCCTTTAAGTGACCTCTGCTCCACGAAAGTGGTGGGGGGGGGGTCAAACGTTATTTGTAAAGAAGCAGGACTGAGCTTGCTTGGGGAATGCATTTATTTAAAGCACTCGATGCACGTCATGAGGAATAACCAAGAGCCTAAACATCCACGACTTTAATAGATTGCATAAATGAAAGCGCACAGTTAACGCACCGTCGTGATGTGCTGGCCCCTTGCCTTTAAAATCAGTGGCTGTAACCATCATCATGAAAGCCACCTTGGTCAGCATTTGTAAAAACGAGAACAAAAAACGGGGCGTTTGTAAATTTCCATCAAGCGCTCCTGTGAAGTCTGGCACGGCGCATGAAAAAAGGTGATGGTGTGTCCGTATCCCCCGTCGCAGATGTTTACACGCACACATGAGTATTGCATACTTAGATATACGGCATGTGTA